GATCTAATGTACGGAATGATGACCACCTGTCAACACCACCACACTGAATACTGGAATTTTTACATTTTTTAGCAAAAAAATTAACAATATTTCATGACACATGAAAATGACGTGAAATTCCAATGTCAGGGCCACCAAGTTTTATTGAAATACAGCCATGCCCATTCGTTTACGTCATGGTCTATGGCTGTTCCCACATTATAAAAGCAGACCTGAGTAGTTGTAACAGAGACCTTACCATCTGCCAAACCTAAATATTTGCTGTCTGGCCCTTTACAGAAAGAGTTTGCTCACCCCTAGTCTAGGATCACTTTGGGGGTCAGAGAGAGAATGTTCTGATTCTCTTGGAATCCTAGAGGATTGGAGCAGGCAGGTGTGACTCAATTTCCCCTCCCGATGAGGCCAGCGAAGCCACAGCTGCCCTGAGGAGGGAAGTTCCAGGTAAGTAAGCTGACTGGTATTCATGCTCTCAGTGTGGGCAGCGAGTGGTGGCCTGTGACCACCTTCTTAGAGTTTTCAGGTGCCTTTGTTCCTAGGAGTGAAAGAAACTGAACACATTAATCCTCTGCCCGGAAAAGGAAAAGTGGGTAGTGGGGATGGAATAAACAACCCAAAAGAGGAAAGCGGATATGAGCAAGGGAAGTTAGCTGGCGCCAGGATTTAGGTCTATATGCCATGGCAGTGTCTCCATGAGTGGTAGAGAAGAAGGAGTATCCACCAAAGAGCTGAGGTGATGGGAAGGAAATCCAGTCAGGAAGACTGCACGGCCTGAGCCGCGGCCTGGCTTAGGGTGACAGTGAGAGAGTGTCCTGGGCTCAGAGCGAAACTGGCTTAGAGTGACAACGTTTCAGTCAGCTGAGCTGGGAGGAGCCCAGCGGTGAGGCCAGATTAAGGACCGGAGGCGGCCCAACTCTCCCCGGTTACTTATTTTAAATTAGAATCGTCTTGCCTCTGAGAAATTTAGTCTATTTGTTGCTCCTGACAGGCCCAGCATGGGGACATGGGGACGGGTAGTCACAGGAGTTGACAAGCCCTTTGCCGAGTGCCGGCCCTCACCGTAGGAGGGGCTCCCTGGACACGGGGCCGAGAGAGCCGCATCATTCCCACAAAGACTTGCAAGCAGAGGGAGAGCCAGACAGGCAAACAACTAACTAGAATACACGCATCCCTCTTCGGAGGGAGGACTGGTGAGAGCTTCCTTCCATCCCACACTGTCCATCAGAAAACCCTCTTCCTCTACCTTTCTGGAAAGAACTGTGGCCTTAAGGTCAGTATTTCACATCGGGACGTGGCTGGGGCAGGCCTTCCAACAGCCTCCCCTCCCCAGGAGCTTTCTACACAAATCCCCCACATTCTGGGCACTCAGCATTCCAAAGCCTATGTGCCCCGCACCATGTGGGCACTGGTGATACAGAGACGAGAAACATGATTCCAGTTTCACAAGCTGGGGGTGGCGTGGTGGAGAGGGGCTTGAGGAGCATCTGGTAAACAGATCGTCACTATCACTGAACGATGGTAATTCTTAGAAGAGTCTGTAGCGGCAGGAAGGGCACCAAGGATGTTGTGTCTGTCCTGATTTCCAGGGGAAGGCAAATCCATTCCCTAAATGAATCACTTTCTTCCTAAGAAAGTAGAGAACCCCAGACTTACAAGTCTTTTAAAAAAAAATTTTAAGTACAATCTACCCCCCCAACATGGGGCCCCAACTCATGACCCCAAGATCCAGAGTCATATACTCTATGGACTGAGCCAGCCAGGTGACTGAGGCAACCAGGGTCCCCTCGACTTACACGTCTTAATAGAGTGCGCCACCTTCTGGCCTGGGTCCTGCCTACCTCCCAGCCTGTTTGCATCTGAGGGCCAGGCTCTCTTATGGTATCACACATTTGTGACTGGAAAACAGAATCACTCCTCTCTACCCCTTAGAGGTGCTGGTTGGAGGATCACAAAATCGCTCTTCCACTTTATGATGAGTAATGTTGGGGAAAGCAGAATTTTGAGGCTTCTATCATGGGTAGAGGATTCTAATAAAATCCCACTTTTTTTTTTTAAATGCAGTTAGGGTCAAGATCTGCACAAAATTGGGGATGAGAGGAGTCCGATGCTGTTCTGTATGATAATGTGAAGAAGCACTCCCAATGCAGTTATGTTGCTTTTGGAGACATATTTCTCCACTCCAATCAGGATGTCGATGGTATTGTCTAAAACTAATGGATGTCTCTGACACATGTGTGTGTGCATACATACAATATTTATCTGCTGGATAGCCAGAAGTAAATCCTTATCACATACCTCACTCTAGTGGGCAAGTCTAGAAGAAAGGGGACTTGGAATGCCAGTGCCCACCCAAAGCTATTGTGCTGATCCCCCTTGTGGTGTGGGGCTAGCGTGAGTAATTCAAATGTAAGGGTGTGGACTGTTGGGGATTACTGCATCCCTTGGTTGGGGGGAGGGGGTGAATGTTCCAGCATGATCAAGTCCTGTGGTAGTAGGTGGGACTTCTCTAGAAAGGAGAAGAGGTTTTATGCTGTGAGAAAGAAATCTCTTGGGAATGGAGTGGTGTCTTTAGGTCTGGATATCAAGGAAAGAAACTGGAAAAGAAGGGGCTGACAGCTTTTGAAGGTATTTTGGTTTGGTTTGCTTCTTTTTTTTAATGCATTCCTCTTGAACTGTGAGGAGAGTCTTATGAAATTTCCCATTTTACAAATATATTTTTCATTTCTATTACAATACCTTCAGTTCCTCAACCCTTCAGCAAAGTACATTAACAGTCTCGTGATGCTGGTGTGGAAAATGAGAAAATGGAAATCTGGCTGCTTTGTGTTCACAGGTCAACTAACAGCTGGTCAGTGGAAAGGCATCCTGGCAGCCCACTGAGGTCCAAGGTGCAGGAAATTCTGTTGTGCCTGTAGCAAAGCAGGGGAGGTTTAGGGAATAGCCATGGGCAGAGGGAAGGAACTTAAGAGTCAGGGGGGCTTCTGTTGAATGGACAATTCTTGTAAGGCACAGCAACTCCTTCCCAATTTATACTAAAGGTAAGCGACATCTGAAGCAGAGAAAGCTGATGCTTGGATTGTAGATAAAATGCAATCTTTGTGTCAGAAATGCCCTTGTTCCCCACTGTGGTCCAGGGAACTCACTGTCTCCTCAGGCATACAAGGAATCCTGTGTACCTGACCACTGATCATAGCTCTTTCAAAAGAACCTACAGCCCTGTCTGATCAGATCCCCTTCTTTTTGAGGCCCAAATCCTCTGAGGACTCTCTGGGTATATGGTCATTATGTCACCTGTCTCTTCAGACTAATAAGCTCCACTTTTTATTTTGAAAATTCTCTAGAATGCATAATTTATTAGTCTTCTAAGGAAGGCAGCTGTAACCTGTATCTTATTCCTCATGGGAGTATCCCATTTTGTTAAGGTCTGACAAAACATCCTTATTCCTCAATTCATTCTGCATAGAGCTGTCCAGTCATTTTCTGTTCTCAGTGGAAAGTGCTGATCTTACGTTTCCATCCTCAACCCCCAGTGTAAGGTTGAAACTGAGCCCACAACAGTTCCTAAAATCTGCTAATGCCAAGAGCCTACCTGAAATTCTTTACTGTCAGCCCAAGAAACAAATTCTCCACATACACTTTAGGCACTTCCTGTGCTGACTCCCATCTGCTTTCTTGGAGTCATAAGGGACAGGCTTCTGGTGGTACTTGTCATTTAACTCAATGTTCTTGTTTTTCAGACATAGCTGATTCTAAAACTTTTTTTTTTATTTTTTTATTCTTATGTTAATCCCCATACATTACATCATTAGTTCTAGATGAAGTGTTCCATGATTCATTGTTTGTGCATAACACCCAGTGCTCCATGCAGAATGTGCCCTCCTCAATACCCACCACCAGGCTAACCCATCCTCCCACCCCCCTCCCCTCTAGAACCCTCAGTTTGTTTTTCAGAGTCCATCGTCTCTCATGGTTCGTCCACCCCTCCGATTTCCCCCGCTTCATTCTTCCCCTCCCGCTACCTTCTTCTTCTTTTTTTTTTCTTAACATATATTGCATTATTTGTTTCAGAGGTACAGATCTGAGATTCAACAGTCTTGCACAATTCACAGCGCTTACCAGAGCACATACGCTCCCCAGTGTCTATCACCCAGTCACCCCATCCCTCCCACCACACCCCCCACTCCAACAACACTCAGTTTGTTTCCTGCAATTAAGTGATTCTAAAACTTTTAAGCATTAAAATCTTTATTCTTCATGAGTGCAATTAGGATTTACTTAGAAAATACTCTCTTTTGGTGACTTTTAATTTATATTCAAACATAACAGACAGAATTTAAATGTGTAAACTTGGTTTCTATGATAGCGTAACTAGAGGCACAATTTTGCTCAAGATTCTTTGATCTATACTGTACCAAGTTAGTAACGTTGAGTCAGAATCTTGGAGTATCTTAAAGCTCAGCTTTTAAAAACACCTAAATCTGCTTGAAGCCTCCAGTTTGCCCAAAGCCTCACCACCCCCATATTCTTCCACTCCCAACTCCTCAGACATTCCTTGCCTAGCCTCTGAAAGCATTGTGTTTGCCACTCTGGATTTTCATTCAACTCCCTCATTCTAGAAAAACAGACTGCAAAGAGAGGAAACAACTTGCCTGGGAAAAGCCGCTCTGGAGAGTGGAACACAATTTCCTGCTCTCTCACTATAATATTCTTTCCTTTTAGGCAAACAGTACTATGGCCCAAATCAACATTTGTTACCAAAGAGAAATGGAGAATCTACGACTCTCCTAGAGTTTCAGAAAGGAGAGTTGTGGGAACGGCAACAATTTCTTGTCTGTTAAGTGTGTCCACGTAGGTAGGTATTTCACCCAAATTCAACCCCCCAGTCAAACTGACCGCAGATACCAGGGAACGCGAAGACGGTGTCCGCACCAGGAACCTTCTTTCCTGGCTCACGTTTCTACCCGAGCCCGCAGAGATACGGACCGGAAGTGACGCGTGGTCGGCAGACAGAACTACCTACGTATACCGCGATTGCTCTGGCCGGAAGAGAAAGGTGCAGCTCTTAGAAGGCTCCCCTCCTAGTTCCTGCGTCTCCGCTGTTGCTGTCGCGGACGTAGGAGTGGATACCTGAAAGCTTCCGCGGCTCTGGGTTGTGAGATGCCGGGCGGCGGTCACTGCCCCGATTGCGGGTCCACTGAGCTCGTGGAAGACTCGCACTATTCGCAGAGCCAGCTGGTGTGCTCAGACTGTGGCTGCGTGGTCACCGAGGGGGTCCTTACTACCACCTTCAGCGACGAAGGCAACCTCCGAGGTATCTGTGCCGGCCTTTCCCGGGCCGTGGGTGTAGCCTGGGGTGGTGAGGGATTGACGTCAGAGTTCTCTGATTCCTCTCGCGCCCTCTCGTCACGTGTGCGTTAAACTACGGGAGAAAGCGACCGAGTGAGCTGCAGGAGCTCAGGGACTGCCCTTCATCTGTGTTTTTCTAGCACCTAGTGCGATATCTGGCATCCAGGTGTGTGTGTGTGTAGAGAGAGAGAGAGAGAGAATAGTAAACGTTGACCAAGTGAAACAAAGAGAAACAAAGTTCCACTCAATTTACCTAGTCTGGGTGTGATGGAAGGATTGTGGGTCAATTCTTTACAAATACGGACAAATTATTACCCCCGAAGTAGTCTTTAGTACTAATTGGCAAAAACATCCTTTTTTTTCTTTGCTTTCTGAGTCCCTGGCCAGTGCAGCCCTCAAAATCAAGTCAGGAAGATTGCCTGGATTGGATATGCAGGAGGGAGGGCTGAAAATTTGGAACACTCAGAGCCACTTTAGTGCACTCCTAACCTTCCTCAGTCTCTGTATTTGATACTGCTTGTGGACATAGAAGACTGGATAGACTTTTAACGCGCAAAAATGGGTACCTTCTGTGAGACAGGGAGCAGAGCCTAATGATACGATTTCTCTCTGGTTTTGTGTGGTGGGAGGCCAGGGGTCTGGTGAATAAAGGCTAAACAAGCTGTTTCTTGTCCATTATCTTTCAGAAGTAACCTATTCCCGAAGCACAGGGGAAAACGAACAAGTTAGTCGCAGCCAGCAACGAGGTGAGAATCAACCTTTTGTGATGTGGTGACCTTAAAGAAAATTCTCCTGATGGCCCAGCCCATCCTCTTGCTTTTCAGCATTATTGTGTACGGTAGAGTAGAAGAGAATGGTAAATAGAAATAAGGAATGGAGGTGGTTCTAAGAGCATACAGTTCTAATGCAGTGTACAGTTTGGGTTTGTCGGGCCGTGTTTGGCTTGGCTCTGAATCAAGCCAGCCTCCAAAGAATGGTGGGTTAAACTTGACTCTTTCCACAGATTTGTCTTTAGAATGACCTCACCAAATGTCACTCTTGTCATCGTAGAAAGGTGCATTATTCTTGCATCTGGTGTTGGAGGCAAATTTAGCAAAAATTGCCAGGAGCTGCACGGTAGCGCCTTCGACCCCTCTTAACTCCTGCGGTGGGCTTTCTTAGGTCTCCGCCGAGTGAGAGACCTCTGCCGAGTCCTGCAGTTGCCATCGACATTTGAGGACACAGCAGTTGCCTACTACCAGCAGGCCTACCGGCACTCTGGAATCCGTGCTGCCAGGCTGCAGAAGAAGGAGGTGTTAGTTGGGTGCTGTGTCTTAATCACCTGCCGGCAGCATAACTGGCCCCTCACCATGGGAACCATCTGCACCCTGTTGTATGCAGATCTGGATGTGTTTTCTGGCACCTACATGCAGATAGTGAAGCTCCTGGGGCTGGATGTGCCATCTCTGTGCTTGGCAGACCTGGTGAAGACTTACTGCAGCAGGTACTAGCCCGCTGGGAAACCCTGGGATGGGCTGGCTCCTTAGACCTACGTCCTTTGACCTGTGGCTGGCTCTTTTTCACCAAAGCCCCTCGAAAGGGATTTGGGAGAAAAATCTATTCTCCCTCCCTCGTGTCTAGTATTAATAAGGTTAATCCGTTTTACAGTTCTAAACTGGTGCCATTTCCAAATCCCTTTGGCCTTACTGCAGCCTAATGTTGCAGGCAGAGTGGGTGTTAGCCTTGGCACGGGGCTGCTGAGTTGCAGCTCTCCTGTTGTGCATGGCCTGCTTGGCTGTGTGTAACAGCCCTGCCTCAGCAGGATCATCTGTGAATGCAGGTGAGACGATGTTAGTGATGCGGCTGGAGGCAGAAGCTTGGGCCTTTTTTTTTTTTTTTTTTTTCTCCTAAGTAGCTGTGTTTCCTTTTTTTCTGAAAAATACCGTAGAAAGCAAAGGCTGTCAGTGTCAAGTGGTGTTGGTTTTGGTTTGCTCGGTTACTTCCTAGCTGGATGACTATGGGCCTGTTTTTTTAAACTATAAATGCATATAATGGGGTGTAGAGGAGATGAAAGGAGAACATTTGGAAAGCGCTCAGAATAATGGCTGACGGGGGTGCTGACGAACGTGCGCTTCCTTGTGGGTTCTCCTGCCCTTCACCGCACAAGTAGAACACTCCACCTGTCTTCTCTCAGCACCTGTAGAAACTCGCTGCCCAGCGAGCTTGAGTGTTCCAAGGGGAGAGACTAGCTTGCCCGTCGTGAGTAGACTGCTTTTCCTCACTTTGGCAGAGCAGCCCCCTCCCCCATAGGCGCGGAGCCCAGACTCTCGTTTTGGTTCTTTCAGCTTCAGACTGTTCCAAGCTTCCCCATCCGTGCCAGCCAAATACGTGGAAGACAAAGAGAAGATGCTGTCGCGCACACTGCAGTTGGTGGAGCTGGCGGATGAGACGTGGCTGGTGACCGGGCGGCATCCCTTGCCCGTCATCACTGCTGCTACCTTCCTGGCTTGGCAGTCGCTGCAGCCTTCAGAGCGTCTGACGTGCTCCCTTGCCCGGTTTTGTAAGTTGGCAAATGTGGACCTGCCCTGCCCTGCTTCCTCCCGCCTGCAGGAGCTGCTGGCTGTGCTGCTGCGGATGGCTGAGCAGCTGGCCTGGCTGCAGGTGCTGAGGCTCGACAGACGGTCTGTGGTGAAGCACATCGGCGACCTCCTGCAGCACCGCCACACGTTGGTCCGCAAGGCCTTTCGAGACGGACCGGCAGAGTCGGAAGCCGGGGAGGAGGAGCGGCAGGCACGGGGCCAGGGGCCAGGGCAGGGAAAAGAGGAGGTGGCGAGTAGGTCCTTAGATCTGCCCGAGGGCAAGCGGCCAGCCAGTCCTGCCCTTCTCCTCCCACCTTGCATGCTGAAGCCCCCAAAGCGGGTCTGTCCCCCACCCCCTATCTCCACGGCCACCGGAGATGAGGATATTTCTGACAGTGAAATAGAGCAGTATTTGCGTACCCCTCAGGAAGTTAGGGACTTTCAGAAAGCTCAAGCTGCAAGACAGGCTGCCACGGGGGTTTCTAACCCCCCCTGATGTGCATCTGAGGGAGCACTCCCACCATTCGGACAGCAGCTTGATCATAGGCCTGTCCTATCCGGAGAAATAAGTGTATGTGAGTCCTGAGGCAGGTTTGTTTTTTTTGTTTTGTTTTGTTTTCCTTGTTTGAAGGAACCAAGGGACTCTGCAGTTAATTGGACCCTGGGTCCTAGAGTAGAAGTCAGGAGCGATGCAGGGACAACTGGGTTGGAGAGAATCCCATCCCTGAGAGGAAGGTGCACACATTCATATTATGAGGGATGGCTTCCCTCCTAGACTGGCTGGAGAATGTCAGGCTTTCTTCTGGTTTGGCTTTGGGTACACTGCTGCTGCAGGCCTCATGGGCCCTCCCTGCTGGTGTGGAGCGGTTGGCGTTGCGAATGCAATCAGCCCTCAGCGAATGGGAACTGGGCACCTCTTGATCCTGCATCCGTCTACAGGCATGGGTGGTTTCTCATGTACAGGGGTCACAGAATCCTCTACCTCATAACAAAAGGACCGTGGGTGGACTAAAGTTATATAGCTCAAAGGGCTTTGCAAAATTTTAATATATTAAAACAAGAGGCATCTGCTAGAAAACATTCTATTGTATAAAACCCGAGCTTTTAAAAACATGTTTTCTTTGGCACTTTTCATCCCCTCCCTCCCTTTTCCCCAGCGTATTGCAAAAAGCTCTCCAGTGCTAAGGCATTGGCAGGGTATGTAAACAGCCAGCGTACGTGGAAGAATAATACGAAGCTTTTTTTTTTTTTTTTTTTGTCTAATATTGTCTGTGCAGCAAGCATAAATAACAGGATTCATCCCAAGGTGTGTGGATTTTCTCCCCTCCCTTTTGTCTTTTGCCTTGGTGATCAGACTGCGGGAATATGGACACTGAGAGGGGACCTGGACCAGGTCTGGTTTTCCTGTTCCTCTTCCCCGGGCTCAGCTTTCCCTCCACTTTTCACTGGGTCCTGTAGTAAAAGGCTGGTGGTTGCTTTTAGGTTGGGGGAAATATGGGTGCTGGTGTTTGAAAGTAGTGAAGGCTCCACGTGAGCCGCAGGTACCCTACCTGCTGCCCTGGGGGATTCAGCTTGGGCTTCTGTGAGGCAGGAAGCCGGTTCGATGTTGGGGAGGTTTCTCCCTAATACGGAGCTAGAGATCAAATTCTTGGAATGGTCCTTGCATATGGCCTCATGGAGGCAGGGAAGTGCTCTTCCCCAGTGCCTCGGTGTTGGCAGGTGGAGACTGGGGATGTGGGTCTTGTCATTGAACAGTAAGTGCTTCTCCAGCCCCGCCTGTGGCCTTGTGGTGGCGCCTCTCTTCAGAGCACTGTTTATAGGGTCAGGTTTAGGGCAGGACTGCCAAATCTAAGCACTACTCTCTACTTGCCTCAGATCTTTCCTGGGTATCTGGCAGAGGCAGCTTCTTAGGCGCAGGGCCTTGGCTTTGTCCTGAGGCACCACCTCTAAAGCCCTGCTGTATGGTTTGTGCACCACTCCTGTGGGACGTGTCCGTCCCCGATTGTGCACCCTTTTCCTAGAAGGCCATCTCCAGGGCTGCCTTGCACACTGTTCCACCTTCTCTTGCATAGTTTATCTTAAAAGCAGCACCTGTGGGTCCTGGCCACCTGGCGCATCTGCTAGGCTGGCCGCCTAGTTGGCTGAAAGCTGGGTGGGGGAGAGGCCCTAAGATCTAGGCACAGATGGCTGACTGCAGAGGAGGGCAGTGAGGAGAGAACATGGTTCTCAAGCTCCCGGCATCTGTGTTTTCCTGATGCGGCGGACAGCCACCAGCGAGGCAGGGTGGATGAGATGTGGGGAGTACCTAGGGAGGGGCCCACCTGGGGGCGGACAGCACCTTCCCCCACTACCCTGGACGGCACCGAGTCGACTGCCCAAACTAGCCTGGGCTGGGACGGAAAGGTATCCCGCTCGCGGTCCTGGGATCGTCGCTACCCCGGAGGGACGGCGCTCAGGGCGGTGGCAGGCCTTCCGCCTGTCCTTTTGCCCAGCCTCCGGGACTAACGCCGGTGTGCCTCCCTCAAACCTGCTGACGCACCGGTGGACGTCTTTAGGGCCCCAGGGAAGCCGCATGTCCCACAGGGTCGCCCGCCCCCGCCCTAGACGGTGGTCTCGCTCTTCCAGAGGCCCGTCTTCATGCAGGCGCCCGCGGCCGCGGCCGCCCCGCCGAGGTCGTCGTACTTGGCCCCCTTGGGCGCGCCGTTGAGACTGGCGGCGTTGAGCGGGTACGAGCGCCGCTTGCTGTCCCGCTCGGACGCGCCGGCCCCGCCGCCCTTGAGGTTGTCGCGACTGGCGCTCCGGCGCTGGCCCGGCCGTCCCGCCTCGGGGGGCGGCGCGGCGCTCGTGTCGCTGCCCTCCGACGGCGTGAGCATGGGCTCGCCCTCGAGCTGCAGGCCCGGGCTGTTGCGGCTGCTGCCCGGGTAGCTGTCGGACGGGCTGTTGTGCAGGCTGCCGCTCTCGCTGGACAGCAGCTCGGGCGCCCCGGCCGCCGCGCCCCCGCGCAGCGCCTTGAGCCGGTTCTTGGCGCCGGCCTCCCCCGCGCGGTGCCCCTTGGCCCGACTCTTGTGCGCGCGGCGCCCGTGGTGCACGTTGTTGGGGTGGCGGGCAGCGAGGCCGCCCCGGGAGCCCGCGGCCTCCGGCTCCCCTTCCCCGCGGGCCCCCGCCTCGCACACCTGACTCTGGGCCAGCTGCAGGTTGGTGAGCTTGCAGGAGCCCAGGGGCGGCGCGTGGCCGCTGCTGCCGCTCGGGGAGGACTTGAGGGAGGGGGCGCCCTCTCCGAGTACGGGGGAACCGTCCTCTGGGGCGGCGGGCTCGGCCCGGGGTGAGGCGCGGGAGGCCGAGGCCCGGGGGCCGCAGGCACGCCAGGAGGCCCTAACGTCGCGGCGCCGGGCGCAGTGGTGGGTGAAGACGAAGAGTCCCAGGGCGGAGGCCGCCGCCCCATACAGGCAGCTGCACACCACCCGGGGCAGCCAGTGCTGCGACACGGCCAGAGCCCCACAGGCCCACATGGCCAGGTACAGGAAATGCGTGGTCACCAGCGCCCCCAGTTGGACTCCCGGAGAATAGAGGCCGTCACCATCCTCCGGGGGCCCGGGTGTCACCACCCCAGCGCTCCCAGTAGCCAGAAGGGAACCTGAGTCATTCAGGAGGGGGCCGCTGCTCCTGAGCCTGGTGGAACCCCTCAGCTCCTCCCCTGTCTCCAGGGAGACCCTGCTGGTGCCCCCCTTTGGGCTCTGTGCCAGAGGACCCCTTAAGTGCAGCCCCGCACACAGGAAATAGATCCAGGTGATCAGCAGAATCAAAGCCACCGGGATGTAGAAGGCTCCCAGGCTTGGACGCCACACCAGCCAGCAGCTGAGGGGAGACACAGGCAGTGGGTGAGGACGGGGAGCATGTCTGAGGTGGCTGGGTGGTTGGGGACATAGGACACGGTGAGTGGCAAGGCAGAGACTGGCTTAGGCAACATGCGTGGGTTTGGGTTGGGTCACTGGCCGGGTGGGCCTGCAGGTGCCCCCGCCAGTGAAGAAGAAGGCATCCGGTGTAGGGGCGGGTAGGTGTGGGGCAGGCAGGCAGCGGCGCTCACTAGGGGCTGTGGTCCCGGTAGTTGTGGATGCTGACTGCAGCTGTGATGCCACAGATAATGAGTGGGATCCCTCCGGCGATCAGATAGAACCTGGAGAGGAATGGGGTTTGGGGTCAGAGATGTGGGCAACCAAGTGGGTTGGAAACAGATGCTCAGAAGCCTTGACTCGGGGTCTCTGTCCCATTCTCTTTCTTTCCCCTTTAAATTCTCTCAGATTTTTTTTGCAGGCTCAGTACGTTCCTAGGGGACTTGGCCATGACTGCTCTAAGGGACAGAGGCCAGAATTGTTCTCTCACTTGAAACAGTACAGAAGTCAGGGTGCCACTCGGGTTGCCAGGATCCCTACCCAACGCCCTTTGGAGTCACTTCCTTCCCTGGCCTTGTCAGCCCTGAAAAGCCCTAAGGATGCACCCACTCCATGGCCTTGGGCAACCTGGTGCCACCTAGGGCTTTGCCTCTTCTCTCTTTGGAGAGTGCTCACCCAGGACTTTGGACCCGCCCTGCCTCCACCCTGGGAAAACAGACGGTGGTGTCCTTCACCCGCCTGGGAGCCCTTCACCCTCGCAAAGCTGACAGTTGGAGGCGAGTACCGGAGCATGGGGCGGGGCGCAGGTGGGGCCGAGTCCCCTTCTTGTGGAGGGGGCGCTCTCCAGGTGAGCTCCTTGTGGAGGACTCGGGCCTTCACACCCATCCAGAGCAGCGTGGACAACGAAGAGTAGTGCAGAGTGATGCCCACCTGCGGGGTCAAGCCACAGAGGCTGGGGGACCAGGCTGCTACTACTGGAGCCATCCCGGGGCCCCAGTCCGCAGTGTTACTCTCCCATTCCTCCCACTGTCCCACCCCCAGCTCTACCCTGAGCCTCCTCAAGGTTCTGTCCCTGCTGTCACCCTCTCTCCTTCCACCCCACGCTTCTCTCCCACTTGGGGGACTTTTCACAATCCTGCCGTTGCTGTCTGCCTTGTCCCTGACCTCTCCTCCATTGAAGATCCCCAATCTCCCCTTTGAAGACCCATCTCGTAGTCTCTACTTCTTACCACCCCGACTCCCACGGCCCCCACCCCAGCAAGGCTGGACACAACCGTGCAGCTGGGGCCTATTAGCATGAGCCCCCGTTTTTTCCCCTGCACCTCCCGACTCTGTGCCTAGGCTGCCATCACTCATCTTGGAGCGCCCCCCGGCCCCTTCTCCTGCTTACTGCCTGGCAGACCATGTGGTAGTTGGTGAGTGTGATTCCTCCTGCAAAGACGGCGGAGGTCATGGCCATGTGGAAGCACAGGTTCAGCAGCATGTGCCAGCCCTTCCGGGACACATGGATGGAGCTGCCCCAGAAACAGTCTTTAATTAATGGGCCACCCACCCAAGGTCAGGCCCATGGGGTCTTCAGGCCATTGGGAGAGCAAGGGGGGAAGCAGATATCTGTGCACATGCATGTGCAGGGCAGGGAGGGCTTAACCCCCAAAATGTGTTTTCCAGCCCTAGAGCCTTCCAGTAAAATGCTAGGCAAGCCTGGGAACGGCATGTGGGCCCACTTGGGAAAGGAACCCTTGGCCAGTACTCAGGGAGACCCACAGCCTTCCCTCCACGCCCTCCCCCCCCGCAGGGGCCCCCACCTGTGGTTGAGGATATAGGTGATGATGGTGGAGAAGAGGCAGAGCAGCAGCAGGCCCGTGCAGGGGTACACGACAGGATGCAGCCCTGCCCCGGAGCCCCCAGCCTCCCTGGGGAAGGCACTCAGCTCCTGGAAAGAGTAGGAAGGAGGAAGTAGTAGGAAGCCAGGGGTAGAGGCCACCCCATGGAGTCCTGGCCAGTCCCCCACACCATTCTTCCTCTTCCCAAGCCCGGTCAGCTTTGGTCCTCAGCTTCGGCCCCTCGTCCATCCAGGTGGGCGAAGACGTAAGTGCTGAGACAGCCACTCATAGAAAGTCCCAGGTAGTGTTAATGATCTACCAGTCCCTCCCTCCTCGTCTCTTGCCCCTCTGGGGACTTTTCTCAGCCTAAAAATCAGAGATGATGAAAGAGGGGCAGGTTTCTGTCTATAATCCAGGTGCACGTCTGCTCAGGTTCTGGGAAAGGGGGGTGCAAAATGTGAGGGAGGGGGAGCCAGACAGGAGTGAGGAGGTTGACCAGAAAGGAGAAATGGTCCCAGATTTTTCCCCCCCACTTTAACAATCTGGGTCTCAGAGAGTGCAGGATGTGAAGACCGGGCTGGGTAGTTCCAGA